AAAATGCTTCTAAATTTTGGTTTATTTCCAAATTAACTTCACTTTCCCTCTATAATTCAAATAAATTTCACTCCTAATTCCAAACCAAAAATGAAACCCAAACTCCAAACTTCACTTTCGTTCCATACGTAAACCATATTTAAGTGCATTTGCTCCAAACCACACACAACTTCACTCACAATTTCATTTCCTTCCCAATTCTCTACAATTCTCTCTCACTTTTCTCTCATTCCAAAACCCTCACCAAAGCTCCATAGCCAAAAAGCTTCACAAATTGTACATTACAATTTGTGAATTCTTGAGCTAAACCTTCATTGCATCATCTTCCATCATTCAATTCTGAAGTTAAAGTATTTTCGGATCTAGATTCAAGCTTTAGAAGTGCTTTCTTGAAGTGATTTTCTAAGCAATTTCGGTTTCGTTCGTTTTCACGCAGATCTTCATCTTTCTTGCTAGGAATTCATTGAATCTTGGATTTTCTTTGTTTGATTAATCAATTTCTATTTGACAACACTTACCAAGCAAATATTTGTTTTGTAGGTTGGTGATTCTTAGGTCTAAGCTTATTCTAGCTTATTTATAACTTTTACATTGTAGATCCATTCATTGGCTCTTGATGTAAATTGATCCATTGATTGATTTAGTTGTTGATCTTAATGTTTGATGGACTCAATTGGTGTTTGCTTGTTGTTAATTGATGTAATTTTCGTGTACAATTACATGCCCTAACATGTGGATGATTGGAGAATTAATTTACTGCTGAAAGTGCTTTTGAAATGCTGATTTTCTACTTCTGATGCAGTGTTAATCGATTAACCAGTTTGAAGGCAAAACTGGTTAAGCGATTAACTATGTTTTTTTAGGTGTTTTTTGTTGTTTCTTAAGGTGTTAATCGACTAACCAACTTAAAGGCAAAAGTGGTTAAGCGATTAAACTTATGCAAAATGTGATTTTTGTGCTTTTTCAAGCTTGTTTTGATTTTTTCCACTTCTAAGCTTCATTGATTGATATCATACATATTTGTAGATATTTCTTGAGCTATTTTACTTCACTGTGCAGTATAATTTGATTCTTCGACACATTGATTTTCGTGATGCATGTTCATGACCAATTGTTTTGCATTCTTGATGCATTGTTGATGTTGTACATTCATGCACATTATCGATTGTTGAAATCCATGGTGTATGTTCACTTGATTATTGTTGATATGTGTCCATCATGATTGCTTGTTCTTTTGTCACATGTTCATATACTTTGCCTAATTGATAACATGATCATTGCTTACATTCTTGATTTTTGTTCATGATGCTTAATTGATGACGCATTGATACTTGCTTGTTGTTGTTGTGTGTTCATGATGATTAAATGTTGATACATGCTTGTACATATTGTTGATGGATGAAAATTCTTGAAGCATTCTCTCTTGTCGCATTGTGAATACATGTGCATACTAAGTGTTTGATCTTTTGACAATTTGCTTGTTGGTGTTGCGTATTCAAGATGTTTGATATTAATACATGTTCACACACACTGTTAATGTTGCAACCTTGATACATGTTCATGTTTAAGTGCTTCATTGTTGAATGCATACATGTTGCCTATGCATATGCTGCTGTATACACTACTATTATATGGAATATATGTTGTTAAATGCATTCGTTCTGTTTTACTGCATTTACACCTGTTCTATTCTGAAAATACATGCTGTTAAATGTTGTACCTTGCTGTTGTTGGATCTTATTGTTGTTCTGAGCTGAAACGTTGTTGTTGTTATTGCTGTTTTTAGTTTATTTTCTTTGTTTTGGTTTATTTTGCATGTTTCCACCTTAAGGCCTCCTAGTCCAACTTAATTTTTTATTAAGATTGGAGTAGGATATACATTAGGTCCTAATCCATGCATGATAACATTAGGATAGTTTCCTTAACCTCAACCATATGTCCATGTTTGCATGCCAACATTAGGATAGAGATTCCTTTCGCATCCCAACCTTAGGACCACTTTGCATGATAACATGTAAGACCGAGTTTCCCCTTAGACCTTTCGTGCATATCTCTCTTCTCTTTCTTAAATCAAGTCAAAATACTTAATATATATGAGGTGCATGGTGTGTCACAAGCCTTAAGCACACGAGAGAAGATGAGCGGATGCATTTCTAACCTCATCTTAGGGTACTTTGTACGCGAGACGTTTGGATCGTTAACGCGAAGTATTCGATCATATGTCCTAGACTTTAGTGCGATGTACATCTCAAACAAATTCAATTCACTTCTCTAAAATCCTTGAACAAATGCAAACCATTTTGTCCTTCGAGATTTTCTTCAAACTTTTTCAAAAAGGGCATGCTACTTTCGTTCTACCGCAAATAGGTAACGTGTAAGGCTCCAGACAGTGAGCAGCAATACACCTAACTGGTGGAATATGAACCTAACATCACTCATAAAGACACTAAGCCACTCGTGGTAGGCTGAACTACAAACGCTCTGATTTCTTTATTCTAGAAGGCGAAGTCTTGACGAGCACCCTTCACACATTTCACCTGTAGTCCTCCAAACTACTTTGACTCTAACTTTCCCATTGCACAAGGAAATACGTAGGCATAGGACGACGAAGTCCTATTGAGTCTCCTTTTGTTTTTTCCTTTTCGTTTCCGCTAGCAAGTATGCTTTAGATATACACACATTTTGGTTAGAACAACAAAAGTGAATCCCGTTGAGTACAACGGACGCGAGGGGGTGCTAATACCTTCCTCTCGCGTAATCGACTCCCGAACCCTAGATTTGATTATGAGACCATGTTCCTTTCCCTTTTTGAGATTTCTTCGATCACTTCCTTTCCTCCGTCGGGATAAATAACGTTCGGTGGCAACTCTGTTTTTCTGTCGGTTGTTTTTTGCGTTGCGACACTCTCCGAGCAAATTAAGGGAAAAAGTAAAAGAAATGACTTTGATTTCCTCTTTTGTTCAGCACATAAGAGCCCTATAAATACATCAACCTTAGAGTTGAAAGTGAAGAAATCATAAAAAAAAATACACAGTAATATAGAGCTTCTTACCCTAGATGTGCTAGCTCTCAACCTATTGTTTGATATAATATATTTCTAGCAAATACAACATTTAAGTTTCTTTATAGGACCACACAATATCAAATTTTTGAATAACACACACACACACACATATATAGGGAGCATTTAGGGCTGGCAATGAACCAAACCAACTCGAAGATAGTTCGGAATTCGACTCGACAATTAAATCGTTGAACTAGGTTCATGAACCAAATGAGTTGAGTATGAGCGAAAAATTAAGTTCGTTAACTAAATGAGTTGAACTTGAACTATACATAGTTCGACTCGTTAGGTTCATGAGTCAACTCGATTACATATGAAAAGAATTATACTGTCTTTAAGATTAGGTTTAAATATTTACTTTAAATCTTAGACAAATTTAATCTTAAATTTAGTAGTTTTTGAATTAGACTCTCAAATGTATCTCTTTAAAGTTGTGTAGGTTTTGAATTAGTAGATTTCTAAGATAAAGTTAAATTTCAATATGATAACTTTTATTTTATTTTAATATTTTATTTAAAAAATATATATTTATTTAAAATGTCAAATATACTAAAATATATATATATATATATATATATATATATATATATATATATATATATATATATATATATATATATTTAAAAAAAATAGTTTTTAAGTTCGTGAACCACGTGAGATGAACCTAACGAGTCGAACCGAACTGTTCGTGAACTTATAACGAGTCGAGTTTGAGCTTAAAAAAAAGTTCGTGTCGAACTCGAATTCGAACAATTCTTAACGAGTCGAGTCGAGCTGAGGTGAGTTTGACTCGACTCGACTCATTTCCAGCCCTAGGAGCATATCAAATGAGAGTGATTTTAAATGAGAGATGAGAGGAACAAATAACAACCATTAAATCAAATTAATAAGAGAGATGAAATGCAAGTTAATAAGAGAGAGAAATTAATAGTCACATTAATGAATAAGTCTAATCATGATCTAATGGTTGTTGTTTGTTCCTCTCATTCTCATTTAAAATCACTCTCATACAAAAAATTGTTTGAATGATATCATATTTAAAGAATATAGTCAAATTGTTTGAATGATTAGAAACAATATATTAATGCTCATACAAAAAATTGAGAGTATATTAATGCTCATACAAAAGATCAATTTATCAACATTATCTGTTTGCATTATTTTATAGACAATTAAAATTAAAGTCAAACTTCTTTCAATATTTAACATCTATAATTAATTGACTTTGTAAAATTCTTTTACATTATCAATATATTTTAATTAAAATAAAAAAATACTATGCACTATTAATTATATAAAAATAAGAGACAAAAATAATATATATTAACAGTATAAATTTATACCGTCAATCAATTATCATAATATATTATGCAATTATTTTAAAATTTTTAAATTAATTGTGTGACATAAATTTCTATTAAATAAAAATATAAAACTATTTTACAACCTTCAGGACCATTACCTTTATCACTAAAAATAATTCATTTCCTAATGTGTTGGACACCACTTCCAACGTCTTCCCTCCTACCACACTTGTGAAAAATAAACCTCACACACCAATGATTACCCATTGTTAATTCACAAATGACGCCACGCATAAAAACAGAAAACCATTCCCCATCCAATCCAAATTCACCACGTGGCCCAAACATGTCCACCTCAACATAGCATAAGAAATTAACCACCACAAGAAAACTAGTAAAGCGATCCACAAAACAAACAAACCACCTCACCGAATCTCGCATTCTAAATCTTCCTTCTCCTCTCTCCTAACCCTAATTCAACAAACTCACAGATCCCGATATTCGCTTTTATTTTTTCATTCTCTCTCTTTTTCCCTTTCTCAGGAAAATTATTCCCTAATTTTCTCGAGAAAGTCAGGATCATCATCAAACAAAAACAGATTAGAGAGGAAAAAAATCAATCAGAGAGAATTATGAGCTTCCAGGACATTGAATCTGGCCGGCCGTTTAGACGTGGACCGATCAACGGTAAGCAAGACCCAACGCAGGCGGTTGCTGCCGGTATTTTTCAGATCAATACAGCCGTATCAACCTTTCAGAGACTGGTTAATACGCTTGGAACCCCCAAAGATACCCCTGACCTCCGTGAAAAGCTGTTAGTTCTCCGTCATCTTTAAGTTTCTACGTAGAATTGTTGAATTCAATTCAATTTTTATAATGATTTTTTATTGAGCTGAAATAGGGACTAGTTTTATAGCTGATGTTGATGCGGTTTGTAATTCTGCATTGGTTGATTATTATGTAATTTTACTGTATATATTTTGGAATTCTTAAAGAGAATTGTGTAATTGATGATGAATAAAGAGGGAATTAGGTTTAAACGATGGGAATTATATGATGGATTCGAATTGGATTAGGGCTGGAGCGGTGATTTGGGATTTAGGGTTAGTGGGAGTTGTGGTAGTAGTGTAGGGAATTATAGATGAGTTGGGATTTCTGAATGTGGTATTAGGATGAGTAATTAGGAAGTTTTTGGATTTGAAATTGGATGTAGGTTTGCCAAATTGGACTGGTGAGCAGTTCAATTACTGACCTGTGTTTTGAAAATTGGGTTCAAGTTAATGAGATTGTGAAATGGTTTTGTTATTTTTGTTTGGTGTGGTTTGGTTCACTGTAATTATTTGAACTGGACTAGTTGAATTTACCAGTGTTGTTAATGAAAATAGTCTGCGAGGGAGGGTTTTCTTTTTGAGTTAATTTTACCCTGACCCTTTTGTTTTATCTAAATTGAAAATTTTCAAGTTGTTTTAGTGAGTCACTGTTGTTTATTCAATGTATATGAGTTAACAATACGTTTTTCTATCGCTTTTATGAGATTTTTTTTTTGTCTGTGTGGTGGTATGAGATGACCTATTTTCTAAACCTTTGCTTTCATTTATAGGTCATTTTGTTATTAATAATTTTTTGTGTGCCACCTGCTCTTTCTGGATGGTAGGCTAATGCTTTAAAAGTAGATAAAAATAGCCAAAGGGCTGTTGGGAAACTGATAATTTTTTCTTGGCTTGCAAACTGCTTCTAATTCCAATCCCTCTCAGGGTTTTAAAATTTAACTCGGCAGCATACATTTGACCATTGCCCACGTCAAAATTCTCATGTTAGTTTTACCTGTAGGCTCTTATCTGGTTAAGTTTTTTCTGCTTGCAGTCACAAGACAAGGCAACATATTGGGCAGTTGGTGAAGGATACATCAGCTAAGCTTAAACAGGCTAGTGATATTGATCACCATGCTGAAGTTAATGTAAGTTTGAACCCTTTTTTTTTTACCATACATCATCTTCATATGCAGAGCAATTTCTATGGTCTCAGAATTTCTATACATCAAATTCTGAAATACACGCGTACACACACCTGCACAAATATTTATTGATTTATTTCACTGGAGTTCTTGCTCTCCACGGTACAAAATAGGTAATCTCACAATCATTTTGCATCATTCTTTAATGAATACTGCAAAACAAAGTTATAGTTAATTTTTGTAAAAATAAATTTAAAAATGCAAAAAGGTGTTATCAATGGGACATTATTATAGTTTACAATTTGTTGTATGTTGTATATTTTATATTATATTTTAGGGTGTTGTGACCTTAATGTCTATTACCTTATTTCTTGTGTTTGAAGGCAAGCAAGAAAATAGCAGATGCTAAACTTGCGAAAGATTTTCAAGCAGTGTTGAAAGAGTTTCAGAAGGCACAACGTCTTTCAGCGGAGAGGGAAACAGCTTACACTCCTTTTGTTCCACAAGCAATGCTTCCTTCTAGGTGATTTATCAATTATTAGTGGAGTTCCTAAAAGAGAAGGGGCAAGATTGCAGCCCTCTGTTTATTGTTATATGGCTAATATCGAATGTGAACTGCTTCTGAACAATGACGAGTATCTTTTAAAACACGAGTTCAATTTATATGCACTTGGTTTTATGGTGTGATCAATTGTGCCTCTTTAGTTGCAATTGGTGCTTTGTTATTAATTTTGATGACTTTTGCACACAATGGTTTTAACACGGGCTTTACTTTCTGGCTTGCAGCTATACAGCCAATGAAATGGATATTGGCTCTGATAAGACACCAGAACAGCGTGCCCTTCTTGTCGAATCCAGGAGGTTATTCTCATATTATTCATGATAAACACTGATTAACATATTCTTTCTCTCATTTATCAAAAAAACATATTCTTTTTCTCAAAATTATTGCATTGTTTCTGATAAGAAATTAAAGATTCACCCCCACCCCCCCAAAAAAGTCGAAGTTGGCTATAATATAAAATGAATGTGATATTAATATACGTTGACAAAGTGCTGAAATTTAAGGTCAAATACTTGTATTACTTGTCTGAAATTATATTTTAGGCTTAAAAAGTGTTGATACCTACCTATTATTAATTTGAGTTTTTTCCCCAATAATGCCCAAACCACATTCTTTCTTCCATTTTCCTTTTTGGAAGTTCAAAGGAGTTGCAACATGAGTTAATTAATCCTATCCTTTTGTAAAATATGGTTGAAAACTAATGTAGTTACTTATCAAAAAAGGTTTTTCTTATTTAACCTTTTGCAATACCTCACATATTCATTTGCAGAGCATTATAATACTGATAAGAGTTGATACCAAAAGCTGTCATTTCTCTGTTCATATATATTTTTATGGTGCACAATCAATGACAAGACTAAGCTTTCATTTGTCTTATCGGAAAGTATATTTTCAATTCATCAGATTACGTTATTTTAGCACCTCACCCTTTGATTATTCATGCTACAGGCAGGAGGTTTTATTCTTAGATAATGAAATTGCCTTCAATGAGGCAATCATTGAGGAAAGGGAGCAAGGCATTCAAGAAATACAACAACAAATCGGTGAAGTTAATGAAATTTTCAAAGATCTGGCTGTGCTTGTCCATGAACAAGGAACCATGATTGGTAACATATTTCTTTTGTTTTTGTACCTTTTTAATTGATTTTTTCATTTATTTTCTGTACTTGTTCATGGTATCTGATGTCACTGGTTATATTTTGCAGATGATATTGGTTCCAACATTGAGAATTCGCATGCTGCAACCGCACAAGCAAAAACTCAACTTGCAAAAGCTTCAAAAACACAACGATCAAACTCTTCTTTGGTAATATATATGTTCCTGATTGCAATAGATCACTTTCTGCAAACCTCAACCTGCTTACATGAAATGAATTTATGTATTTGGGGCCTCATGGCACCTCCTGAGTAGGTTATATTCTAAGATGATTGACGTAAGAGACAAATACAATGAGGATTGACTTAACACGGTTTTGTAGGGCTTACTTTATTGAAGTCTTGTAAACATGAGAAGTTGAACTTGTTATATGATTGGTGTGCATGGTTCATTGTTCTGGGAAATCGGAATGGCAAAGACTCCAACTTAGATAAATATAGTTGGCTTATTATTTAATGAATCACTGTTATCTGTTCACATATGTCGTGGTTATTCGCATATGTCATGGTTATTGGTTACATTTGGGGAGTTGGGGTAGTGGTTTTGATTGTTTTTGTTCACCGTCTTGATTATTGGTTACACTTTTTTTTATCCTTTCAAACCATTGCTAATTTTGTGTTAATGTTTGATTTTAAGGCATGCCTGCTTTTGGTGATATTTGGGATTGTGCTTCTCATAGTGATCATAGTTCTTGCTGCTTAGTGAAAGATTCTATTAATTCCATCATGGTACTAATGCATATATACGAAGAGCAGCAGATAGAATCTTCCTTACTGATGATGTCACTTAAGTGGTGTTTTACTGAGTCTCGGTTGACTGGAGTTTGACACAGCTGATTTAAGTGCATGATGTAGGAATTCCCTTCACTATATTGGAATTTTGTTGTGGGGTGTTATGTTTTGATGTTTGGGATTTTAAGGATGTGTCTACTTGTGCTGAAAGTTCTGGTAATATATTAATTCTTTGGTTTTCCTTTACTTGTAAATGCAACACTGAATTTGGCAGTGCTGACTCCTCTTCAGCAAGACATTGATTTATGATGATCTGTTCTCTTTTATAGTGGTGTTTTAAGGTTGTGTATGGAGAAAAGTTGATGTATTGGATAATGTGTTAGACACTCGTTCATAATTATATTTACATGCTGAGTAAAATCTGTGAAAAAAGTGGAAAATTGCTATCTGAACTAAGATTCTGTTTATTCACTCTAAAAATACATCCTTACTAACTATTGACAGTGCTTAAAAATTAAAATTGTAAAAATAAAAGATCAAAAGAAAATTAATGAATTATGGAGTATTAATCATGTTTAAAATGTTGATGATGTTAATTGAACATGAGATATTTGAAAGAGTTTCCTGGCAATTTCTGGCAGTTACATTCAGATAGTGTTTTTGTCGCCCTCCAATGTTTGTAATGTATTGTTTCCTTCTTTGGATTTTATATTGGCAATCTCAATCCAATAGTAGTTGGTTAGTTACGTAATTTGTTTCGTTGTAATATTCTTTTGGTAATTTTGTGGATTGAAATCTATAATACTATTTCTTAAAACACTTTCCTTATGTCTCTTTAAGGGGTCATATTATATTTATATTAATCACTGTTCCAAATAACTGAAATATATTTATAAAAAAAATGACTTCAAAATGACTTATGTATTTCAACTTATAGTAAAAAGATTCTTTTCTATTTTATCTAAGGAGTGTCACGGATCAACCGATCATTTTAGTTGGAGAGTTTGGACAAATAGATTAGAAAAGTAGTTAAAAAGACGTTACGAGAATTAAAAGGTTTTAGACTTGAGTAAATAATTGTGGTGATGGAATGAAAGTATTTAGAGTAAAAAAGAATTGTTTTAAAGAATGATTTAAGTGTAAAAATGTCAAAATTTAGAAAAAGAAATCAAAGAGGGAGGAAAAAAATTAATTTATAGACTTAGTAAGAACAACTTTAACGCAGAGTTGTTAAACCAAAATTCTTTATAGTTTACGTTAGTAATAAGGAATTTGCATTATAGGAGAGCTGACATGGCATCCAAATGAACTAAAATTTAGTTCCCATTATCTATATAGTTAACGTTAACTATGTGAAACCTATTATAATATTATTTAATATTAATAAAATATTCCAACAACATTAAAGTAATGATATGATATTTGAAAATAGTAACGGTCATATTATCATTTTTTACCTTCTATAAATTCTATAGAAATTTTAATTTTTTTTACACACAGTTTTACTACTAAATTTTTTTCTTTCAATTTCCAATCTTATTTATTTATCAAATGGATCCAACCAATCGAATCCTTATTATAATTATATTCCTATAAAAATGTAATTTTTTTTTATGTATTATTGTTGTGAATTTTGTATCATTTTTAATTTTATAATAAAATATATTTAATATTATTTTTAAATTTTTAAGGTAAATTTTATTTAAAAAATTATATGTATTTTAATTAAAATAATTAAATTAATGGTAACTTGAATAAAAAATATAAAATGTGGGGTCAAGTTTTGGTTTCTTATAGACAACCACCATTAAAGTAAAAACTACTCAAATCAACTATAAATTTTTTAAATCCTACAAATCACTTTGGGCCCACAAAAAGTATCTTAGTTTACCCATTTAGTTTACTACCACTAAAGATGCTCTAAGGGAAGAAAAAGAAATACAAGAGATTTTGATTAAGGGAAGATTATACTTGTTAAAAGTACAAAAGTGACAATTCTTATTGATATAGGCTTGTCTGAGAGTTTTAAGGTTGTTGTTGGTGTAGAGTAAACTCATGTATGGATGGGGAGACACTTTATGTCTATGTGATTTCTTGGTGAATTGAATGTCCTCTTTCGATTTTGTGAGTGTGATATTTATAAAAACCTCTTGGACTTGGATCTTAGGACTCAAGAGAGCATCTACAATATTTCCCTCTTTATAAAACATGAGAAGTGAAACAGTTATTCCTCTATAATCAAGGAGCATGCAACTCCCTTCTTTTACTGTCTCTCTCACACGCATCATTCTCATGTTTTCATAAGTGGGCGAGTGATCTAACCAACATGCGAGTGTACTAGATAATGGACGCCCATTGTGATAAATGGACGACTATAAAACCTACTTCGGGCGACATGTATTATTTGCATGCCCTTGGTGGATCTCGTTTGACCTCTTGTTGATCATTTACAAATATATCAGTGTACAATCTCTCAAATGCGAGGACTTGTAAAGGACGAAGTAATTTAGTTTGATCGCCTCTTCACATCTAGACGAGCCCCTCAAGCATGTCATAGCGGTGAGTCCCTTAAACATGTCTTAGGGGCGAGTTTCTCAAGCTTTTCTTAGGGAGAGTCCCCCAAGTTTGACCTGAGGGTAAGTCTCCAGGTGTCAATTAATGTGAATATTGAAACGTCAATTGAGGTGGTTGCACACGAATTATTAAATGTGATTTCTGATGAATTAGTCTTGGGAAGCCAAATAGGTCCTAATTCCTCCCACATGTTAGAGACGTGGGGAGTCTTTTGCAATTATTGAAGAACCTAGTGAGGCTTTATTGATTATCCATTGGGCTAGATTTTAAATTCCTTATAAAAGGGGGCCAACGCTTACTATTTTAACTTTTCACATATCTTCTTCTCCAAAGCTCTAGTAAGATTTCTTCAGAGTTTCTCAAGGCGCAGGGCACATTCGTTCCCTTGTTCTCAATAAAGTTCATCTTCCATTCTACTCTCCAGGTATAAACCTTTTCATTTTCCTTCATTTTTTTTCCTTTTAATGGAAATTATTAGAGATTTAGACGGAAGTTGTAGGATAAGAAAGCCTTTTAACATTAGTGAATGGTCTGAGATGTACTTGCACTGTGCGAGGAATTCTGAATGGGAGCATGGATCCATTAACTAAAAACTCTTAGACCTAGATATATTTGGGAGCTATGAGAGCACTAGTAGTTCTGATAGTGACTCGATTTCTTCCTATTCTTTACCAGGAAACTCCCAACAGTTGTTGGGGACTTCAGACGCCAGATTTGGAATTGATTGACCGATTAGTGTTGAGTAATCAAGGTAAAGAGGTGGATTTCATGATTGATGAGAATGGTGTTTGAGGTTCAGAGATATAGTGTGTGTACCATATTTTCCATAACTTAAGAAGAATATTCTTGAGGAAGGTCATAAAATTGGTTTTAGTATTCATCCTAGTGCTATGAAGATGTATCAGGACCTTAAGGTATAAAGAAGGATGTTGTTGAATTTGTTTATTCTTGTTTGACTTGTTAGAAGTCGAAGATCGAGCATCAGAACCTGTCAGGACTGTTGCAACCATTGAGTATTCTTGAGTGGAAATGGGACAACATTTTTATGGACTTTGTAACAAGTTTGTCAAAGACAACGAAGGGAAGTGATTATATCTGGGTTATTGTTGATAGACAGACTAAATCAGATCATTTCATTCCGATAAAAAGTAGTTATCCATTGAAAAAGCTAGCAGAGGTTTATGTTAGCGAGATTGTGAAACTGCATGGTATTCCTTCTAGCATTTTATCAAATAGAGATTCGAGGTTCACATCGTGAGTGCTTTTGGATTTTGGGTGATATTAAAACTAGGATAATGTAGCGTTATGTATATTGGACAGTATCCTCCCAAGGTCGAAACATGCGTAAGTAGGTTGACCTATACAAGTTTCAGATTTAGTATAGGTCGACACATATAATCTCAGGTAGGCACTCATGGATCAATATTAAAGCCTGTAGCCACTGTCCATAGGTCGCCTCACATAGGTTGACACATAGGCGACACAAGACCTTCATAGGCCAAACTTAAACCTTGATAGGCCGACCTGGGTGTCTTGATAGGCCGACCTATTGCTTTGATAAGCCGACACATGCGATATCCCATCTCAAAAATTTCATTTTTGCTCCATCAAATTGCGTTCCTTTTGCTCATTATTTGCCATACCTGTATATACTCATACAAGCACCTTTTTCTAGTAAGGTACTAGTGTAAAACCTAAACGAAACCAGATTTACAAAGTTTTCCCATTATAAATAAAAAATTTCTTCTATGTATACAAATAATCAAACTACACATAATCATTTTTTAATTAGGTGACCATCTAGATTAGGATTGATAATGTCTAATTAGTTTAGTGTAACCGAGAACATTGGGTTATGATCTTTATGTGTTTCAAATAAGAAAACCAAGCGGTGGCTTTCCTTCAATATCATAGGGATTTGAATGTTTTTGACAAGATTACGCTAACACGGATTCGACCGAGTGAAGACCTTGGGACAAGGTGGTTTCCTTGTAAGGGAGTAGCAAGAGACAGTGAATCGTGTTTGGAAATCTTGGTTTCAACAAGTGCGTGTTAGGGATTAATCCAACCGAGCGAAAACCTTGAGGACGAGGAGGTCTTGCAAGCAAGTAGTCAAGAACAGGTGGATTGTAGCAGCATTGTTGATGACTTGATCAAACTTTGATCAAGGGTTTGAAGGTGGTAGAATTAACAAAAAACCATAGGGTTTGTGGGGTTAGAGTTCTTCATCTCTTGTATAAACATTTTTGCAAAGATAAGGTTAATTGCGAGTATCTCAATTGGATTTCGGATTGAGGGCTGACCTACCCATAGCAAGGCCGATTGGGGATCTGCCTAAACAAATCTTTGTGTCTTTCTCTTTCTCTTTCTCTCTCTCTCTCTCTCTCTCTCTCTCTC